TTTTGAGACAGTTTTGTTCACATCTCATGTTCAAACTGTCTGACAAACAAGTTTGCACTTTTGAGACAGTTTTGTTCACATCTCATGTTCAAACTGTCTGATTTACAAGTTTGCACTTTGTGTTTAATGTGACAGGAATAAACAAAATACATGAGCATTTTGAAACACAGTTGAACCACTTTCATCGAATCAAAATTAATTTATTTAGAACTGTATGAATCAAAATCGAATCGATTCAGGACTTTGGCATAAATACCCAGCCCTTGTCTTACATAATGGCGAAGATGCTGTCTAACAACCGGCACATTTACCAAACGCCAATCAGGCTGGAAAAAACGGACGCCACTGATTTCTATTCAAACTCTTTCTGCTCCTTCGACATGTTTCTGTGCTTCATTTCTCCACTGTTTTCCTTCTGCTTTTCCATCCGCAGCAATCTGCTGCTACTGCTGTGCTTTAGTTCCCATTTAGGCCCCTGACTGTTACATAACCAGAAAGAGACATTATACTGGGAGCCAGAGCAACTAGAGCTTGAAATAATAAAAGAACAGAAGGGAAAAGAAGAGCAAAGAGCTTCTGCTGTATTTTCTTCAACGTGGTTCTGAGCTGATTAAGAACAGATCATGATTTCCCCCAAAGAAGGAATTCCTTATTTAATTGTTCCTTTAAAGAAGCTAACCAATTATAAAGCACTTTTTCACAACTAAATATATGTCTCTTAAAACAGGAAGTGACATTGCATGAATGATGCCTTATTGTTTTTCAATCTGCTGATGACTGATTGACCGTTGAATCTCTGTTGGAAATAATTTTTGGCCAAAGAAACGTGGAAAAAAATGGATTCTTGGAATTAAGAGACCGATCAACCTGAAACTTGGAGAAAAGTGCATAGTTTCTAGCATGGCGAGGATTCATAGCAGAGGGAGGAATGAAAAAGCCAGATGATCGGGGAAATTGCAAACATTTATGAGAATTATTGCTCTCCTTTGTAGTGCTGTATATGTGCTGCGCAATCGTTTGGTTAAATAAGGAAAATAAAAAGGACTTGGAAAGGGGAACAACATCTCACCTGATTAGCCAGGCTAACAATTCCCTCTAATGATCTCCCTTTCAGAGACATAGACCAGTATCGGGCATTACAGACCAACAAAGAACCCAAATGACCCCCATTCCAAAGGGGCGGTCCTGTCCGTTCGGTTCAATCTGCATGTTTTTTAAGCCAAAACAAGCCTTTGTTTTTGTTCCACTCTATAAAGCCTTGAACTCAACGATATTTCTGACATTTTTGAAATGAAAAAGTTTCCTGGATGGGAAGAGAAACGTCTTCAAACTTTGACTTTAACTGGAGACTTTGACGCGACTGTTTTGCGTAAAAATGTGTAAGAAACTGATGTAAAAGTTGGGTGTAGAAACTTTCACATTTTAATTTAATTAGGATTATCAGCTTCCTTTTCACCTTCAGGTCTCAGGACCTGAACCTGCTCAGGGTCCCTCGTCAGGGGTGTAAATAA